TAGCAAGCATCAAAGCAGCCTGGACTACATGGTGATGTCTTGTCTCAAGAGAAAAACAAAGCACTAATCACATAGGTTACTTTTTCTATTGGCTTCTTGTGAAATGGCCAAGGCCGTATACATGGGAACAGACTGAATTTTGAATCCTTACTCATTCTAGTGCAAGGGTTGGAAACCTAGGGCTAGATGGTAAATATGCCAGGCAGGCCATCTGGGCTCTGCACAACCACTCAACTTTGCTCTTATGGCACAAGAGCAGCCAAAGGAGGGGAAAAAATAAACAAATGAACATGTTTGTGTTTAAGTAAAATGAATTTTGGATGCTAAAATTCAAATTTCACAGATTTAACATGCCCTGTTTTCATGTGTCATGAAATATTATTCTTCTTTTGACTTTTAGAAGCTATTTAAAATTATGAAACCTGTTCTTAGCTCATAGACTTTGCAAAAACAAGTGGCAGGTTGCCGACTGCTCCAAAGCTATAAATAAATCCACTTTCAAGACTGTGAGTAGGATACTCTCCTGTCTGGGTGACTAATCTCCATTTCTTTTCCTAAATCCAGCTGAAGAGTTTTGAGAATTGGTTGTTCATATCTATATCTACATCTATATCTATATCTATATCTATGTTATCTATACCTATAGTCAATCTCTTGAACAAATGGTGTATTTGGATATGTTTCCTCTTTCTCAAATATTGGTTTACACAAATAACAAAACCCCTTCAATTTCCTTTAAAATAGAAAACAGTTTCAAACACTTGGAAGAATCTTTTACTGTGAATATATTAAACAGACATACACATTTTCTAAGTACCTATTCCTTCTAATTGTTGTTTATAGATTCCTGAAGGATATTCTAATTGTACAGGTCAAATTAATTTGCTGGCTGAAATCTTGAAAAAAAAATGCCTGGATGTTAAACCAACTACACACTTCAAAAATATTCTCAACATTGTTTCTTTACATCTAAACAGCAGAGAAGGTACTGGTGTGGCAGAGGGAGTTTAAGATAGCTGCTTACTTGCTGTCATCTTTAAATGATTTAACTTTTCCGAAATCTTGGTTTCTTTATCAGAACAATGGGGATAAAGCACATAAATAAAGTTGTTCGGTCATTAGCCCACAAATGGACAATACCTAGATTTTACCATCACAGTGACTCAGCAAACACAGTACATTCCACAGTTAGGGACAGAACTTGGGCTTGGTTACTGAGGCCTTGGTCTGACTCCTTGTCTGCTGTAATCCAGTAATATGAGTATGTTTCATTGCCTCTTTAAGTTCTAGTTTCTTCACCTGGGATTTCTTTTGAGAATTATGTAAGAATAGTTGGAAGAAAGGAATAAGGTTTTCATGTAATTACCGTTGTAAGATCTACTTGGTAAAGTGAAGGCAGGACATACCTGTACAAACATTTTTAAAGCAAAAATAACTTGAGTGCATACACAAATCACTTGTGGATCCAGATACGGCCCATAAATGGAGAGAGCTGACAACAACTTTTCCTCATAATGAGGGTACAGAGTGCATTCTCCTTTCATCAGCAAAACAAAACTGTATAAATGTTCTCAATGTTATCAATGGGGAGTTATTCTCTGCTCCAATTTATAGCAGACTGAACTGATGCATTCATAATAATAGTACCCATAATAATGGAGAAAGATGAGTAGCAAAGATAAATATAAATCACAAGAATAAAGCCTAATTACTCTGCAAATCCAAAATGCAGTTACACTCAAGTCCATTATATTTAGTTTAGTGAAATGCACTGCTATAAATTTAGTGGGGGGGGATGTCAATTTCTTTACATCATAAATGTTTTTCTTTCAGAGGCCAGGGGCCTCCAACCAGAGCAATGATTCTTTGTGATGAACTCCTGCATGCAAAAATATAGGGTTAAGGGGTTTACTGAGTGACATGGCAGCTTCCACGACAAGCTTTTCCCTTCCCCCTTCTCCCCTTTTCCTCTTAAATTTTATTTTGTTTTATTCTGGGGGGGGGGAAGGAGATGGGTGGGACTGGGAGACATGGTGAAAGACACAAGAAATAAATAAGAAGAAAGTTAAAAAATGTTTTGCTTTTACAATCATCTTTCCATTATCTTTACAGTTGCTACTTTTTATGAATAATGATTGATACACGGCCACGCTTTCCTTTCTAAGAAAATTCTCCATCTTTTGCAGAAGCTAAGGTAATTAAAATTCATAGCAGCACTGTTTGAAACAGCAAAAACCAACTTAATATCCATTAGCAGAAGACTATAAAATATTCACTCAAAAGAATATTGTATAGCAAAAAAATCAATAAACATGATCTTCATGTATCAAAAACATGATTGCAAAAAAGACTAGAATAAATGCTACTTACTATTAGTGTGTTTAAAATAAATAATAGAATAGTGTAGATCATATATCTGACAACACAAATATAAACAGTTGGTGAATATAGTAAAGTATTGCAAGTTTTTACTATTTTTGGATTTTTTTCTGTAAATTTGGAAATACCAAAATTAAAGGTTAAAAATTATGTATTTTTAAGGACCAGACAACTGTACTGGAACATAAAGAAATGAGAGTAGCTATAGGCACTTCAGGAGAGTGGTTGCCTTCATGACATGTGGAAGAAAGGGAGACAGAAAAGAATGACAAGGAGTTTCAACTGTATAAATGTTTCATTTTCCTAGCTGCATAGTGAGGACTCAATCCACATGCCATTGTTCTTTATGCCCTTTTGTGCATCTTGAAACCTGCATGAAGTGTGTTTAAAAGACTGTATTAATATTAATCACTTATGGCTTCTAAAAATCTTAGCCATGTTGTGAGTGATGTCTGTACATTATCTAATATATCATATGCAGAGAAAGAATAGACACATTATGAATTTTCATACATTGCAAATTTACATATCAAAGTGTAGGCAGCCCAACTTATGAGTGACAGGAAAATAAAGAAAACTCCTATCTGGTCTGAATGCCAACAGCTTTGAAATCTTGTGGCTGTCTCTCACTCCTGTGTGATGGGAAAAGTTACTAGATTCAGAATTGTTAGGTGTTCATTTCCCCCATAAAAATGTTTGGAATAGTGAATAGGTTACAACCAAGAGAGCAATGATCAACAACAAAGCTTTGAATATATATATGAATATATATATATTCTCCTGAAGTGCAGAAAAGTAACTAGGACAGGACTCCAGAATCTAGTTTTCCAAAAATTGCCCTCAACAGACTTGGGTTAACAAACCAAGAAATGTCAACGTTATGACATCGGAAAATAATGTCCCAGTTCCAATGTTTAAAGTCAAATCCTTTATTAGAAGGCCTTTGTACAGTCAGTGACTACCATGGAGAAAATTAGTACCTCAAATTTTAAAAACAATCATCAAGGGCCTATTTTCACCACCACTCATTCAAGCCCCGCAGACTGCTTGTAACCTGGTTCCTCTTGCCACCGCTGTCTCATTCCCTGACTTACCTTCCTTGTAAATTTTTTGCATTGTCAAAGTGCTAGCAATTCTAATGTGTAAAAGTAATTCTCTGTGTTGGGAACATCCTTCTTCCCCTGTCCAGTTCTTCAAAATTCAGCTCAGATACCCCTTTCTTGAAGTAACGGGCTTTGTGTTTCATTCACTTCTCAGTTTTTACTGTTTCTGTGGTGATACTTGGCATGTAAGAGTTGCTTGGCACAGTTTGGTCAAATAATGCTTTGGTTAGTACTAGAGCGTCCCCCATTACTGTATCCTGCCTCCCTGGGTCCTAAAAATATTTTTTGAGAACAGGGTTTTCCTAGGTAGCCCGGGTTGGCCCCTTATTCACACAGATCTTGCTGGCCTCTGTCTCCTGTGTGCTGGGATTTAAGGCATGTGCCACCATGTCTGCTCCTCCCCCTTTACATCTTGCATGTATATGTTAGTTTTAGAGATGTTTACTTTGCTTAAACTTTATACTTTTAAACTTTAAGTTATTATCCTCTCGTCCAACTACAAAATTCACCCAGAAGACTTTCTTCCTTTGCCTATAATATTTGTTGCATTATGAATTCTTCTCACCCCCACCTTCAAAATTAATTTGCAGCCATTATTTGCGTTCTAAGATAGAGGCCTCATTCTCGAGGGATGGCCAGCAGAAGCTTGCATCAGCTTCAATAAGCAAACCTGAAACATTCCTGTATCTATAGAAAAGAAAGTAAGACATGGCAACAATGGGTCCTTAATTCCGATGTGACTTAAAAAGCCAACTACAGCTCCTCAGATGGCACATCTGCCCACCTTTACTAAGACCTAAGTGTCAGCCGTTATTAGCTTATGCTGCTTTTCTCATCTTTCTCCTTGTATATTATTTTACAGCCATTTGAGTTTGTGACCCCTGGTTTACAATGTTACACTCTTTGCTGTATTTTGTTTCTGCCATCACCAGCTTTCCCCAATGCTACATTTACCAACATGGTAGGAGATGGCTTGAAGATGCCTACCACCCTAAATGCACTCTCAACTTTCTCAATTCACTAATAAATTTATAATTCAAGTATTTAATACTAATAATTCACCACCAAACATACTCAAGGCATGTAATGTGAGTCACACAGATGGTAAAGCCCCAAAGCTTTCTTTTTCTCTTTCTTTTGGTGCTCACAATGTTTTGCATTCAGTTCTTTATGCTTTTCCAAGTGCTTTAATATGTATTATAGCTCATTAGTTCCTCTTAAGAATCATGTGGGGAAAATGCAAGGCAATTATATTCCTGGCTTTAAAGTTAAGAGAGTTGCCCTGGGATACATTCAGCGCTGGTTGAATTTAAACGAACAGAACGCTGCATTATTAAGGCAGGAGAACCCTTACCTCGATGGCATTTAGAGTCTAGCTGGGACTGAACGGGCCATTTGGGGAAGGAAGGGCACCATCACGGAGAGCACGCAAATGAACTATGCCGCAGGGAGACCCAGCGGCCGCTGACCTTCGCGGGCCGACCCGCGGGAGCGTCCCCTCTCCAGGCCCCTACTTACTTGCTGCCGCCCGGCCCTGCTCGCTCCGCTGCGATGGCGCCGTGACTCGGCAGGCCGCAGGGTCGAGGGCACGGCCGGGCGGGCCTGACTGACCACATTGCCCGAAATGGGCCAGTGCGTACAAGAAATATAAATAGACATTGCAAGGGGTGGGGGTGCTGGGGACAGGCGGCGCCTCCGCGGGGACAAGGACGGCGCTGGCGGCCACCACCAACTAACAGGTGCTCGGTCTCTGCGCGGGAAGCGGCTCACCACGCGCCGCAGTCTGCGCCTGCGCGGGGGTCTACCCGCGCCTATTCCACACTATTTCACTGCAGTCCCCCACCCAGCAAGTGCTCTGCGCCTGCGCGATTCCATACCACAGCTTCTCCAGGCTACCTCAGATGGGAACTCTGCCTGCCCAGAGGCTTCCCGCGCCAGACCGTGTGTTAGGGACAACGATGGTCTATCAGGAACCTAAATGACACCTTCTAAAAGAGAATTTGGAAGTCGGATCTTTTAAGGTGACAAATCTTTCATTTAGTCTTTAAACGTTGCAAAACTCAAGCCCTTTGTGTGATTTCATTAGGAACAGCCTATGGTAGGGTTGCTGAATAAAACACAGGAACCCAGTTAAAAATACAATTCAGACATACAACTTTTTTTTTTTTTTTTTTTTTTTTTTTTTGTAGAATATGTTCCAGATATCACATGACCAATCCACATTTAGAAGCAACTCATTGTTTTGGTTTGGTTTTCTATACTTTTATTCATTACAGCTGGCTGCTGGACTTGAGCAATCAGTCCCTGTTTTCTTTTGGGGATGGGGTACAGTGTCCCCTACTCCTGAGGAAAGACTAAGTCTGTTCTCAGCTGTGGGTGCTGCGGAATGGGAAACTTACACCCGGAAGTGTCACAGGGCCTCTACTGTGTGGATAAAGAAGCAGTACTATGCCAGCTAATTTAAAACAAAACAAAACAGTGTGTTAGCTTACATATAACATTTCACTGCTCTGGAGATCAGAATTGCAAAATGACTTACCAATGGGTTAAAATGAAGGTGTCAGTGGGCATGTGTTTCTAGGAGAGAATCTGTTGCCTGGCTGGTTTACAGTTTCTAGAATCTGTTCTGATTCTTTTGTGTGTGATTCCTCCCTCTTAAAAGTCAGGGTCAAGCTGGGGGTGATCAGGCATAATCCCAGCACCCAAGAAGTGATGGCAGGAGGGTGAGGAGGTCAAGGGCTTTTGGCTTCATAGTGAGTGCACGCTCACTTTTGCCTTAAAAACAAAGCAAAACAAACAAAGGACAACAACAAAATACCTTTGTGGTAAAATGTGTATAACATAAAATTTGCCATTTATTTGTTTTGAGTGTGCCACCTAACAGCCTTAAGTATGTTAACAATACTACAGTTTGGAAGTGGAATGTCCCCCAGAGGTTTGCATGTTGAAGGTGTGAGCCCCAGGGTGATGCTATTAGGAAGTGCTATGACTCTTAGGTTGTGGGACCTGGTAAGTCCTTAGATCATGGAGGGTGTGTCTCCAATGGAGTCAACAGGACCTCCTCATTGAATCAAGCTGTTTGCTCTGCTACGCCCCACCATTACCATCCAGTTCACCTATCAGAGGTCCAAAACAGTGGACTCACCCAGTCTTGCTCTGGAACCCTCTCCCACTTGAAATAAAATAGCCCTTTTTCCTTTATAAGGCAATCATCTCAGACATGTCATTATAGCAATTGTTTCCTGAGTAACACAGCTGCTATCACCATTGCCATGAACACATTTTAAAAATCATGCCAAACAAAGTACTCATTAGAAAGTAACTCTTCATTTTTCTCTCCTTACAAGTATCTGGTCATCTCCACTGTATCCTGCCTGTATGAATTTACCTGTTATACATACTTTATATAAGCAGAAGCATATACTATTTGTCCTTTTGTTACTAATTTATTGAACTTAACATAATGCCCTCGATGTTCATATATATTGTATCATGTATGGAAATTCCCTTCTGTTTTAAAAATTGACATTACTCTATGTATTTAATCTATAAATATTGTATTGGAATTTTTTTCTTGTCCTTTTTTTTTCTTTGTTGAGGGAAGAACTCACTATGTAGCTGCTACTGCCCTCAGGCTCTTCATCCTCTTGCCTCAGCCTCTCTTAGAACACTGAAGCATTGTTCTTGCATGTGTTTGTATCTTCAAGTTCACATTTTCAGTTATTTGAAGAAATTCTTCTCCTTTTCTCACAAACACCCCTTGATCTGTCAGCTCCATTTAGATCCTTCTACAGTTATTTCCACTCTTGCTTTTGGTTTTCTCTATAGGATGTCAATATGAAGCCAAGAGGTCTTTCTTGGCTTGAGTTGCAGATTTCTTTAATTTCCTCGTTGGCTATTTTATCTTTTATATTTGTTCCAAAAGGAAATGGAGTTGTGTGAAGAATCAGAGCTTGGAGTCCAGAGGCCAATTTAGATCCTGCATTTTATCCCTAGGTGACTTTAGTTATCTCAAAAAACTTGTTTGCCAAATGATTAAACAAGTATTAATATTTAGCAGACATAACGATCCATCAAACAAACGTAAGAGCTTTTCAGTTTGAACTTGGTTCTTAGTCCTGCATTTAAGTCTCACTTGCTCTGCCTATGGGATGTAGTGTGTGTGTGTGTGTGTGTGTGTGTGTGTGTGTGTTATGTGTGTGTGTGTGTGTGCGCGTGAACATGTGTTCACATGAAGCTTCAGGTTCAGCATCTGTGGATCCCTATGGGATGGTAGAGCTTTTAGCAGTTGCGACATCTCTCTTTCTACTTCTCTCCCTCCTTCCCTCCTTCCCTCCTTCCCTCTTTCCCTCCCTCCCTCCCTTCTCTTTTTGGTCCTTGTTGATTCTTGTCTAAAAGGCACAGACTATTCTTTTTAGTGCCTGGCATGCTGTGCTCCCACTACAGAGCCTTGTACTGTGGCAATTTGTGACACTCACTGTCTTTCCCCTAGAAAATTAACTTAGAAAGCGAAAAAGGTTCATTTTGGCTCATAGTTTTGTAGATTTCAGTTCATGATTACCTGGCACCATTGCTATTGAGCCTGTAGCAGTATACCAAGGCAGAAATACATGGATGTTGTGGTGGTTTGAAAGAAAATGGCCCTTAAAAGCAGTGGCACTGTTAGGAGGCGTGGCCTTGTTGAAGGACGTGTGTCACTGTGGGGATAGGCTTTGAGGTCTCATATATTCTCAAGCCATGGTCATTGTGACATTCAGTCTAATTCCCGTTGCCTACATATTAACATGTAGCAGCTCCTTCCCCACCACCATGTCTGCCGCTTGCCACCATGTCCCACCATGATGATAATGGACTGAACCTCTGAACTGCAAGCCACCACCCCAATTAAATGTTTTTCCTTTATAAGAATTGCCATGGTCACGGTGTCACTTCACAGCAATAGAAACCATTACTAGGACAGATGCAATAAGCAGTAAAATGACTTGTTTCATGGCCTGGAAGTAAAAGAACAACAGGAGGAGACTGATGTACTACAAATTGCTTTGAGGGCATACCCTATTGATCTTAGACCTCATCCTAGGCCAGTGGTTCTCAACCTTCCTAATGCTACCACCCTTTAATACAATTCATATTGTGGTCACCCCCAACCATAAGATTTTCATTGCCATATCATAACTGTAATTTTGCTACTGTTTTGAATCTTTTATCTTTTTTTAAATTTTAAAGTCTTTTCTTATTTTAAATACCAGTCCCAATTCCCACTCCCTTCCTTCCTCCCAGTCTCTCCACCTTCTCCCCTACCCCCATTCACTCCTCAGAGAGGGTAAGTCTTCTCATGGGGAGTCAATGAAGTCTAGCACATCACTTTGAGGCAGGACAAGGCCCTGTCCACTATATCAAGGTTGAGCAAGGTATCTCTCCAAAGAGAATGGGCTCCAAAAAGCCAGTTCAAGTACTAGGGATAAATCCTGGTCCCACTGCCAGTGGCCCCACAGACTGCCCAAACCACACAGCTGTCACCCACATTCACAGGGCCTAGTTTGGTCCTGTGCAGTTTTCCCCACTGTCAGTCCAGAGTCAGTGAGCTCCCACTAGCTCAGGTCAGCTGTTTCTGTGGGTATCCCCAAAATGGTCTTGAACCCTTTTGTTATGATTCTTAATTTAAATAACTGTGTTTTCTGATGATCCTAGGCAACCCCTGTGAAAGTGTCATTTGACTCCAAAGGATTCTCAACCTGACCCTCAGGTTGAGGACCATTGTTCTAGGCCCTACCCCTTAAAGTTTCCATCACCTGCTAATTGTACCAAGCTGTGGATCAAGACTCAGCACAGGCCTTTGAGGACATTCCAGATCTGAACTATAACACAGCAACCCTGAAAGCATTCACCGGCCAGGACCATTGCCCTCTTTGCATCATTATTCACCTTTGCAACATTCATGTGCTCTGCTCAGGGAAGGATCACTGGTTCCAATGACTGCAGAGTAAGGTGAGCCTGGAGCTGGGACACCCAGTGTCTAGACCTGGCTCTGTTCCCAGAAGCCTCCTTGCTTCCTGCAAGTCACTCAGATTTCTGCAGTAGAACAAGCAGGTAGTAATGGGTCTATTTTACATTAAAAACAAAAACCAAACAAACAAAAAAACTGGCAGGAGGATGAAATAGTCCTGTTAGTGAACATGAAAGTGCTTAATAAACTATAAAGTGACCTACCAAGTCATTTTCCTCTGACAGACATGTGATATTAAACTCTTTCCAAAGATCTTGAAAATGGGCTTTTGTGCTTTTCCTCAGCTCTTATTCTTGAGCACGCTTTCCCTTCTTAATAAATTCTCTATTTCTGTTTCTGACCATGTGTCCCTGGTGGGGTCCTTTGCCTTGGGGCACAAAGAGTCTGGGATCAGTTGTCTTGTGAACTCAATCTGTGACTCAGCACTGTTAGGTATGCTTCTCTGACACTGTGGGCTTCTGCTCTGTTCTTCTCATCTCCATGCATTCCCCATATCTCCTCCTCCAAGGTTTTCAGTTTGTCTCACCTTTTATTTGTCTCCCAAACGTTAATAAAATTGTTCTCGATCTTCAAAAAGATCTTGAAAATGAAACAGAAAACTATCTCCTATTCATAATCTATTTCACCCCACTGTGAGCTAGATATGGACCATACTTCTTTTGTTGGCTTTTCCATTTTAGGAATCTATCACAGAAAGATCAGAGAACAGAGTTATTACCAGTGTACTAAACCCCACTGTTCCCTTTCTGTGAATGTAGCTTATTCAGACAGCCTTTCCATCCTGAGGGCATTTGAGGCTGCATACAAGTTCATCACAAAACCTCTAGAAACTAAATTTCTCTTGTTTGGGACTATTTCATTTTCCTCTTCCATGAAATCCTCAAACACCAAGTATAGAAGTACTCAGATTCTGCTTTAGTCTGGTTCCAAGTCGTTTTGTTGACACAAGCATGGTGTTGTTATAGTTTGTTGTGTTATTAAGCAATAATCCAGTGATCTCATATATTGTTTGATCTTTCTTACAAATCATTAGAATGAGAGTTCCCAAAAATACAGAAAGCAGATTTTTAATACACAGTTGCCTGGGTGGGAGCTTTTCTAGACTGCTGAAGTGACTCTGGGTGTCAACCACCCAAGTCCCTCCTTTTTTCTAAATCTGCCTTCCCTCAAATATTGCCCTCATCCACCTGCCCCAGGACAGCTCACCACCACCTCCAAGCAGTAGTGAAGAGGGGGTATCAAGCCATTCTCTGTAAGAGGATATCTCTGTGTATATAAGATGAGTTACTGTGTATCACTGGCTTTTAGCTGCACAACAAAACTTAACTGTCAGAGGAAAGGGATTGGGGAATTTAGTTTATCCTGGATAGCAAATATTTTTTTCCTATTCAGAAGATACAATATCATATCTAAGTGGATAACATCATGTACCATTGGCATTCTATAACTCAAACATTTATTTTGCTTTTCACAATACCTTGTATCTCTCCTTTCTAGTTGTTTTCAAGTTTAGTTTTGCATTTGTGCATTTATTTATGTAACTAATAGCTCCTCTCTCTAAATGCTGTGAGAGCAAGAAGTGTGTATATCTCTGCCTTCAAGTCTAACACAGTCTGGTGCAAAGTAGATGCTTGCTAAGCTGTGGAGTAAATGAATGTATGTAATTAGGGAGTCCCTCATTGTCTCCAGGGCCACTTTGTGTCTTCACCAAAACACACTTCTAGCAGTACACTGATACTGTCTTCTGTGTTCTCAAAGCATGTTCAGCTGTCATCTCATTGGTAAATAGCCTTAGCCGATGGCACTACAGTGTTTCAGGTCTCTATCCTGCTGTATGGTGAGCTTCTGGGGAGGGTGGCCCTGCTCATTACTGCATCCCTAAGGATCAGTACATAGCTGGCTTATAGGCTGCTGTGGTTTGGATATTGCCTCTAAGCCTCATTTTGTATTTACTTGCAGCTGTGAAGATATTGGGCGGTGGAATCTTTAATAGGTGATTAGGTCATGAGGGTGCTACCATCACCCATTATTGAGTGAGTAGTTATTTTCAGAATTCTACCTAATTTTCTCTCTTTGTCTCATTTGTGATTTTTTGTTTTTTGTTTTTACCATTTTATAATGTCCAAACTATGTGGGTCCTTTGATTTTAGAATTTCTAGCTACCAAAACTATAAGAAATAAGTTTTTCCTCCTTCTTATATGCTCATGGGTCTGTGATATTCTGTTTTGGCAGCTGAAGGGTTAAGAAAGGAGCCCACCAATGGAACTCAATTGTTTGGAAATGAATCCTTCTGTAGAGAACAAACTAAGGGTTTGCTTTCCCATTTGCCCTCTTGCCCATGCATCTTTTCTTCCCAAGCATTCTTTCTGTGATGTGATCCACCTCATTCTTTCCACTTGCTAATGCTCAGTGGGAGAGGAAACCTTATGCCATGTCAAGGTTTGCCATACACACAGGAAGCCTGTCCCACCAGTGCAACCCGTTGGCCCCAGCTTCTGTCCAAACTCCCTTTTAAGCTCTGAGTTCATCTTCTACAAGTAATTTGACATTGTCATTGGGAGAGCCGTCTGTTTTTCCATTCTTCTAGTTCTTTCATATATCGCTAGGTAAAGCTAGATGCTGATCAGCTGTGGACAAAACAGATATAGTTCCTTGGAGATTATAATCTGGTGAGATAGCAGATAATGGATATGTAACATCTGAATTTTCCTGCCTTCTATTTTTATACAGAGCTGTTTAGCTTTTCATAGTTTAAGGGAAAAAATTGTTCCCTTTCCTGCCCTTCTTAGTACCTTTGCCTATATTTCCTCTTTGCTGCTAAGTGTGACCTGCACCTGTGGAGGTCATTTCTGATGCTCCTGGCCTCTGTGCTAACTTGCTTTCCATACCCTTTCCCAATTGTGAGTGTTTCCTTCTTCTTAGAAATGTTCCTTCATTAACAGTGGTTTCATGTCATAGCTTTTCTTGATTATTTAAGAGATTTATTATGCCCTTAAAAAAATTGTACCCATGCACCAGAGAGATGGCTGAGAGGTTAAGAGCACTTGGTGCTTGTGATGGCTAATCTTGGTTGCTGACTTGACTACATTTAGAAGTAATTAAAACTTAAGCAGCTTGGCAAACCTGAGAGAGGTTTTTCTTAATTGGATTATTTGAGGTGGGAGACAAATCCTAACTGGATCTTTCGAAGTAAGAAGATGCACCCTAAATCTGGGCCACACACCTTCTGGTAGCAGTTCACATAAAAGAATATGGAAGAAGGAAGATTGTGCTTTCTGTCTATTTGCCCTCCCTCTCAATGGCAAGTGCCTGAGTCCTCCCTTTATTGGAGCTAGAACCTACTGAAAACTGGCACATCTCTAGGTTGTCCCTGGGACTCCAGCACCAAATTGGGACTGCTGAGACATTTAGTCTGGTGGACAGCAACTACCAGATCCTTGGTCTTTCTGTCATGAGACAGCCATTGTTGAACTACTCAGACCACAGCATGTAAGCCACTCTAATAACTCATATACATATATTCATATATGTATTTTATTAGTTCTGTTCCTTAGTAGCCCTGA